TAACTAATATTATTCTTGCTGTGTGTGTTTAAGTTTAGGCTTCCGGCTCTAGGCTTTTCGGGATGAGGGTTATGGGGTTCACGGTTGAGTCTTTCGGGAACCTATGAAAGGGGTATCCGCGACTTGTTCTTGGGTCCGTAAGACAGGTCCGATTATTTTAGCGATTGATGGGGATGGGGATCTGAGAAATTAAGATGTTCACGGTTTAGATTCGGGTCCTTAGTATGGATCTGCTGCTATCATTTGAGCGATGTGGGTTATTGGCTGAGGGCTTTATTGCTTAATAATTTGCGAAGGATGTTAGGACTGTTAGGTATTTTGTATAATAGAAACGGCACGGGCATGTTTACTACATTTTACTACCTATTCAGATCGTTATAGCCCATCGCCTACAGTTTGATCTGCTTGTGGGTCCATGTCAAGAGAAGGTGTTGAACATCCTCTGATTGTTCCGCATGAAGACTCACAACTCCTGGGTCGGGCTCGTAGCATGCTCTCAATGGAGCATCGCTGGATCACGTGTCTGGATGGCTTTGTTGAGACGTTCAAAGGGATTCCGCAATGCAGTCCGCATGCATTGATGAAGCTCGCTGCGCACATTTTTACATTTGAGTATCTTTAATGCAACCTGCATTTGAGCACGGAGGCTTCTGAGGCTGGTGTTATACTGTGACTACCACTTGCATATTGACATTGCCATTATCAACTATCACGTACTGGTATTGTCGTCAACATGTTGTTGTTGCTACTACTACGACCGTAGTCCTACTACATACTACATACTACTACTACTACTACTACTACTACTACTCCTACTCCTCCTCCTCCTCCTACTACTACTACTACTACCACCACCACTACTACTACTGCTACTACTACATGTACTGCTACTGCTACATGTACTGCTACTGCCGCTGCCACTGCCACTGCTACCGCCGCTGCCACTGCCACTGCTACTGCACTGCTCCTACTGCTACTGCTGCTACTGCTACTGCTACTGCTACTGCTACTGCTAGTGCTGCTGCTGCTGCTGCTACTGATTCTGCTGCTACTGCTGCTGCTGCTGCTAGTGCTACTGCTACGGCGACGACTACGACTCCGAGATTTAGGGTTAAGGGTTTAGGGTTTGGGATTTTGGGTTCAAGGTTTTGTTTTTTTTGGGTTTCGGGTTTAGGTAGAATGTATAGGGTGCCCCGAATCCTCACCCAATGCAAACTGACAATAAAAAAAGCTCTGCCAGAAGAAAATAGAAGAGCTCTGAAAGAAAGACTTGCTGAAGCCAAGATCAAACTTTGCTGGGCAGTTTGGACCTGAAACAGCCCACAAAGTGCAACACCATGCCAGCAGGATCTGTCAAGCCTAAGCCGCGAACTCCAAATGCATCCATAATTTCATACATCCGAAACCACTGGAAATCGCCAAGCCCCATGAGCCTTGACCCTAAACTTTAAACCTCAAGGCAAGACTATTGTTGAAGCAACTGATCATCAGGTGGCCGGCTCCGCTCAAAGCGCAGCTAAGGCGGCATGTCTTGACGCCTCGGGCATCCGCTTGGGCTCAGGGTTCGGATGTAGGGTTTTTAGGATTTTCAAGCGCGAAAACCCAAAGGCCATTCACCCCAAAACCCTTCAACTCCTTGATTCTTCAGGTGGTTACTTTCCGTGTCATTGGTTTCGAGGTCTAGACCAAGAGTCTTTGGGTTATCCGAGTGTTGGAGTTGAGGCATTTCGCACTCTTTCGGGGTTTGTGGTGACAAGTTGCGGCCTTCAGTGACACATCTTCGTCGGGAGAAGACAGAGTTGCGTTCGCGTCTCCTTCAGCATGCCCGTACCTTCAAGATATCAAAAGCCTGAGAATCTTACATCTTCACGTATAACTCAAATACTCTGAGGGTCATATACTTGGCCTTCAAAGTAGTCCCTATTTAGGAACTTTTCGGCCCGAGCATGTACCATATGGGAACCCGTATCCCTATGCATTACCTTAAGGACGCTAAACTATGGGAATTATGGTATATTCCTTATTATGTATGGGTAATGCAGGGTTTATATCATCCACCGTATCTCTACATCCCAGTCTTTGAAAGCTTAACCCCGAAAGTGCGGCCAGGCCACCGAGAAGGCAGCAGGACCTTGTGCAGGAAAAGCTTGAGGCGGATGCCTCGGATTTCACCGCGCGTTTCAAGAGCTGGTTTAGGTAGGGTTTAGGCCTTTAGAGAGCTGGGATTCTAGTTGAAGGCTTGGAGGGGCTTTGGGCTTTAGCTTTGCGTTTGTGTGTGTGTGTGTGTGTCAGAGGTCGGGTTTGTGGTGGGTATTCATAGTGTTGCAACATTTGGTTGTGTGTTGTCAGTCTGAGTGCTTTGTGTGAAGACCTGTAGCTTGAAGGCTCCCACTGCTGCACGGGCTTCATACAGCGTGTTCCGAAGGCGTAGGTTTACGCATGGCCCCTGACTATCGGCCCGGGCACTAAACAATTTGGACCTGGAAAGCTGTAACTGAGAATCGTATACCCCAAGCAAGGAGGCAGCCTGAGCAGGAATCAGATCCGGAAGCCCAAAAACCCTTACCAGGAAGCCTCACTATGTTTGGATCTCTGGATGGCTTCAGTATGGAGCTCCTTGGCTGCAAGTTGCTGCCCAGCGGCCATCAGATCCCTGATGCATCGTCACTTTACCAAAGTATTATACTATATTATATTATATTCTATTCTATTCTATTATATTATACTATACTATACTATACTATACTATACTATACTATATTATATTATATTATATTATATTATATAATATTATATAATATTATATTATATAATATTATATTATATAATATTATATTATATATTATATTATGTTATGTTATATTATGTTATATTATGTTATATTATGTTATCTTATGTTATCTTATGTTATCTTTTTAAATTCTATTTTATTATGTTACTTTATATTATATCATATTACATTATTTATATTGTATTGTATTATTTTCCCGTCATATTTTACTTTATCTCCATATATATCTATATACACACACCCATATTTTCTGTATATGATAATATATTCATATATATATACAAAATATAAATACATAAACACATACATAAGTCTTTTAATGAACATATTGTGATCGGGGTGTTGGAAGCATCCTGGTTTAGGTGCAAGGCAGGTTGGATGAATCTCACTGTCGAGGGTATGCCTGCCTGAAGAGCTAGAGTCTTTAGTTTAAGGGCGGTGCGTAGGGCTGAAGGCAAGGGGTCTTTCGTTCAGATCTGAACAGAAGGGCACCGGACTAAAGGCCCCATAGTAAACCCCAAAAAGTTGGAAACCGGAAAAAGGACAAATAGTGCTGGGATTCACTATACATTACACTTAAGGATTGAGGCTATTGGGTTTCCGACTTTTGGGCTTCTACTGTAACAGCTCGGGCGCCCCAGCCCTGCTCCCGGTATGAGGCTGTTCAGCTTTGACCATACTCGTTTCTCGAAGCAGGCGGTGTGAAAACCCAATCAACCACTCGAATATGAAGCTCAACAACCCTGCTTCTTGTTTCAAGCTTACATCTGCATGATGCAATTATTCTTGCCAAAGCCATGCCGTGCTAGCGCACCAGCCTTCACTGGGAGAGAGTAGTTATACAGCCTGCACCACGAAAGCTCGAAATCTTCAACCCCATATTCTCAAACTTTATGCAAATACAGCCCCAACCACGCCCGGAACCCCAAAACCCAGAACCCTCAGAGCTTCAATTCGGTACCCCAAAGTCGAAAGTCTCAAAGGCCATGGCTGCATAGCCAACAGCCGCCTCAAGCCGCATGCTCAACAAATAGTTCAAGAATCGGAACTTACTGTGTCTTTGGGGCCCCTACATACAGTGGAGGAGGGTGTCAGCATAAACCCCCAGCTCGTAAATCCCAAGCCCTTGAGCCCTTAAACCTTAAACCTGCGAGCCCCAATGTCTTAAATTTTAAGCCTTCAATCCCAAAACCCGACAACACCAAACATCCTAAACCCTCAAGCCTGCAATCCCTCACCCAAAGACCGAAAGCTGCGCCGGCCCTTGAGGACGGCTTGGAGCTGTTGCTTTCCGAGCTCGCGAGGGTCCCTGAGGCGCTACAAGGAAGCAGGCGTAGGCGTAGGCTTTTGTGGGATGCTTCTGAGGGTGCTTATAAGATCTGAAACAGTTGGAAAGAGGGTTTCTACATGGGCGTGGTGCAGGTTGAGGGGCTTTTTGTGATTATAGACAAGTTTGGTGCAGTTTGGGTCACACGTCCTGAGCAGGGCTTTAGGCGTTAGCAAGGGGCAGAGAAGGGTTTAGGTTGCTGGAGACTTCGGGGTAGGCTTTAGGATTTAAGTGGATGGGGGCAACAGCACATGCTTCCAGCCCTACGAGCTCGACTAGATGTTGGCCTCGGGACTTGAGGATTTGCCTCCCTTGCTCCATCTATCTATCGACCTGTATGTATGTATGTATGTATGTATGCATGCATGCATGCATGTATGTACGTACGTATGTATGTATGTAATGTATGTGTATGTACTTGTAATTGTATGGTATGGTATGGTATAGCATGGCATGGCAGGGCAGGGCATGGTATGGTATGGTATGGTACGTATGTATGTATGCAGGTAGGTAGGTAGGTAGGTAGGTAGGTAGGTAGGTAGGTAGGTAGGTAGGTATGTATGGTTGGTATGTGTACTTGGTATGTATGGTATGTATGGCCTGTATGGTATGCATGTATGGTATGTATGATACGTATGGTACGTACGTACGTAGGTATGTATGTATGTATGTATGTATGTATGCATGCACATTTATATACTCATGTCTATGTATATGTCTATGCATACGTATATGTGTGCGTGTATGTGTATGTATATGCACACACACACACATATATATATATATGTATATATATTATATAGATATGTTATATCAACCTTTTTTAGCATGGTCGCTTTTGATACATGTGTCCTTGTGGGGCTTGAGAACTCGCATCGTGAGGCTTTGGCACCACGCTGTGCGCAGCTGCTGGTCCCAGCAACATGGAACAGATTCAGCTTTCCCAGCAAACGGTTTCACGGCTTCGCTGGGCTTGTGGTTCAGGTTCTGGGGTTTACGGTGTGGTTGGGTGTGGTGCATTGAGACCTGGTTCAGGAATTGCATCATTGTAGCAAGGAGAGCTGGGGGTTGGGACTTGTTTCCGGTAAAGCTTGTTGGACGAAAGCACATGCAGCGAGTTCAGTTCTCGCGACGACATGCCTTAAGGACCACATCAAAGCTGAAATGAGTGCATTCCTCGATTCCGATTCCAGTCCACCATATAGGATACTGGACCTGATACTTGTAAGCCGCTATTCGAGTCTTTAAGGTAAGGTTCGACAAAAGGCCGGTTCTCCGCTCCGCAACCCACAGAGAATCGGGATGCAGTCTTTCCAGCAGCGTTTTAGTCCCCTGACCTTCCCCACGCACACGCGCACACCCTCCCCGAACTTCATGGCCCAGAGACCTGGAAATCTACGCGCGAACGTGCGAGGAAGACCTCAAGGAAGAATGCTGCGAAGAGGCGCAACGTTGCGGGGTTTGGGTTGAGAAAATCCCCGATCCCTACAGTCCTACGATGTCCTGCGTAACAGGGTTGTCCAGTGAGCGAGCCCGGGGGCATAAGGAAGAGTATTCAATGAGTGTTCGTTATTGGGCCTCTCTGTGAATGTCAGGTTGAGATATGGCCGGTGCATTCACGTTCCTCCCCACCCACTCGAGTTGTGTGCATCCTTTCGTTCTTGTTTGCACGAAGTATCAGATTATTGGGCACGTCATTGTTTACTTTGAAGTTGCTCCCCTTGGACACGGACTGGGCTCGCCGTTTCAACATCCTTTCTTCATGGACAATAAAGCCCAACAAAGCATAGGTCCCACTCCCACAAAGGATTCATATGGCAACACGATCTTAGGCCCCAGATCCTGCACCCTAAGACTCCTAAAGCTCCTGAAAGGGCCTTCAAAGAACCCGCAACTGTACCTAAGAGGCTCTCAAGTTTGGCGCCACCAGAGCAACCTTGGGGGCTGCCTTGGGCGACGGCGAGCGTCTCCTAGCCCTGGAGGGAGACACCGCTGCGGTGCCTCAGCGCAGGGTGTGAGGCCTCGCAGGGTTCAAGAAGCCAAGCGTATTCGATTGACCGATTGGCTGGACTGAATGAGTGATTGATTGATTGATTGATGGATTGATTGGATGAGTGAGCGAATGACTGAGTGAGTGAGTGAGTGAGTGGGTGGATGCTGGCGAGACGATGCAACACATCATTTCTGCTCGGACACCAAAGCGAGCTGATAATCGCAGCCGTCAAGAGCGGAGGTCGGCTCTTGACGGCTAGATCATGGCTGTATAGGGGCAAGCGTTTTCATCTTCGTTGCTGAGTTTCTGGTCGGTTCAGGGTTATGGGCTTAGCCGCATCGAAGCCACGACTGAAAGTGAGCGTGGCTGATGCTGAGGTGCGCGGCAGTGCCGCGGTGGCGGTCACCGCGATGCTGGGCTTTAAAGGTGAAGACTCAGAAGGGGCCCTGCAGCCTCAAGCTTTAAACACCTAATTACACATGTCCAGGCCCAAAACCTAACCCTTGACTCATTGACTCAGGCGCATAGCCAAAGTGCAATAGTTACTACCCTGCATCCCTGCATGAGGACAAGTACGTCCTTCTGTGTTGCGTACCAGCTGTTTAGAAGGATTATAATAGGCACGTCAATGTTCAAGTTCAGGCGATGTATCGATTCAGGGTTTCGGGAGTATGGAATCTCAAGAAATACTCTATGCATCGTGCCGGCCACCTGAGCCCTTCAATAGCAGGGTCCTGGTACAAACGATAGACAATCCCATAGCACACAACATGATGCCTGAGATGTACTTTGAATCCACACATGTCGTGCAGCGACAGGCTTCCAACGATGCCGCCTCGTTGCACTGCCTGCTGCCTTGCAACGCCATCCCGAACCAACCCTAAACCCCGAACCCCAAACCGTGTAAGTGAAGCCTCCTAAGCACTGAGCCCGGGCCAAGTCCTCAACCGCTGCAAGGCTTCAAGCAAAACACAGGATCTAGCCTAAGACCTAAAACCCTCGAACGGTAAAGCCCTAAGCCTTTAATGCTAAAGCTCAAGTATTACAAAGAATCCAAACACCCGGAAAGCCTTAACCCAAAAAGCCGAGGATGCTTTGCAGGCGCCTTTGGAAGCCGGGGCAACCTCCCCCGAGCTACCGTCGACGCGAGGCGCTGAGGTCCGACTCGGAGCCGCGACCTGCGCTCCCGTCGCCTTTGCTCCTTGCACGGTTTAGGCTTTAGGGTTCTTTTTGGGTTTAGATTTAGGGTTTAATTTAGGCTTTAGGGTTCTATTTGAGGGCTGGCTCGCGATGTAGGGGGTGAGAGTTTACGGTTGTGCAATCGGGCTTGTATGGCCTGGTAAGGTTTTGGGGTTGAGGTGCCGAGCTTGAAAGCAGATGGTTTTGGGCTCCAGGGCCGAGTCTGGGTTCTGAGGGCGCCTGGTCGGGGTGATAAATTGGGTTTTCGGGGTGTACGGTTCGGAAAGGGTCATCATGTCGGACTTGTGCCTGGTGGTATTTCAGTTTCGTCGATTGAACTTAGGATGGAACGCAACCCCCGCCCCCCAACGCAACCTACGGTTGAGAAGCCCGTTACCCCCGAGACGGCAACCCTTATGACGACTGATCAGGCTTGACTGCTCGACCTTGGGATGTTTCACACACCACAGAACTTAGAGCATGTAGTTGTGTCTCGCTGCCGTCTTCCGTGGACCTGAGCTCTGGAAGTTTCTGGCTGCACAGCAGCATGTTAACAGCCGAAGCCCCAATGTAACCCGAAACCTCAAACCAACCCCAGAACTCAAGGCTGTGCCGGGTAACATTGGCATTCCAGCCTGGGGCAGAGAGGCCCGATGCCCTGAAGCTCGGGATGGATAAGTCTCAGGGCTGTTACCGGGCTGTTGCTAGGACTCAAGCGCAGCGTATCAAAAGTGCCCTGATAGAAATTCGCTGTTGGCCGAAATTTCAACTATCACCTGTTGTTGGTAGTTCTACAACAAACCAAACCCCTAAAACCGTTAAAACCCAGAGCCCCCAACCCTCACCCTCAAACCCAGTGAGGTTTGCCAGCGCAGAGAAGGCGGCCCAACTGCTTCCCTGGAGCTTGGGGAAGCCAAGCCTTGGCGACCCTCCACACCAGAAGGAGGACGTCTGGGAGCCTTTTGGTCTCGAGTTTTGTGGGAATTTCTCACAAACTTACTGTGGCAGAGGGCTTCGACCATCTTTTTGGTACCTAGGTTGGTTCCGATCTCTCCAGGGCTCGATTGCCAAATCCGAAGCCCTGGGAGGCCTCGCCCATGTGGCTAATGCAAGCTGCCAGACTGCTAATTCCTGAAATGCTGACTGGGAAGCCACTCATCCGTGGGGAGTTCTGAGTAAACAAGAAGCCTACATAGTTGTGGATGCTATTCCTTGGGTTCCTCAGCATACTTGTAGACCAACATATACCCCCAAACCCCGCCTGTGATTATGAAGGCTGCTATATCTTATGCTGGGAAGCTCGCCCTGAAAATCCAGCAGGTCTCGGGTTTTGGAACCTGGGGATTAGAGAGTCAGGCGCTGGGGTTCATAAGGATGAAGGGCTACGTGCTGTGGAATCCCTGATCCTACAGAACGGACTATCTATGGCACGGCTGGAAGTCTTAGCGCTTCTTTTCAAAAACACCGAAAACCTGCACCCGAAGGAAGAGCAAGCATTAGAACAATAAGTCAGAGATATCAGCACGGCGACAATCAACATCCTCGCTACGTCAATTTCAACATCATGATCACCATCATCCTCAACATCATGATCATCATCATCCTCAACATCATGATCATCATCATCCTCATCATCGTCGTCAGCGCCATCGTCATCCTCCTCCTCGTCTTCATCGTCGTCATCGTCATCATCGTCATCATCATTATTAATCAGCATCAGCATCATCGCCAGCTTCAGCAACAACGTTTGTACAGTTATCGCTGAACTTAATTATTTGATCATCAGAACGGCCATCACCGACGTGATCACCAGCAGCAACACCAACGTTATTGCCATCTTCATCATCGCCACGTCCATGATCCTGATGTCCATCTTGCTTGTCAGCCCACCATCCTTGACCTCTTCATTGTCAGCATCATCATCGTCACCATCATGATCACATCACAGTCATGGTCATCATTTTAGGCCTCGCCACCCGCGTGCCCTTGCTGTGTTCATTGCATCACGTTCTTCGTCATTCACATGCTCCTCATGACTGTGACCACCATCATCATCAACAACGGCGGTACAATTAGCATAGTAATGACAGTCAAGATCATCATCAACGTCCTCTTTATCATCGTCGTTAGGTTCATGTTCAACATCAGCATCATCGTAACCATCATCATCACCACCATCATCATCATCATCATTATCATCATCATCATCAACACCGTCATCATCATCACCAGTGACGTCGTGCCTGCCCCCGTCGTCATCGTCATGATATGCATCATTAAGAACGTGCCGTCCATCCCATCGACCGAGCGACAATCGTCAGCAGAGACGAATAACTTCTAGGAGGAGAAGCCGACGAACTGCGCGGCAGCCGAGAGAAACGTGGCGGCAATTGAAATATCCTGTATGGAACGAAACGCCATCTGAAAGCACGAACTGCGAGCGGAATGCGCAGCGGAAACAGCGTGCTTGCGCATTGGACATTACTTTGTTTCTCCAGCTTCGTAGGTGTTAAATACTGTTTATAAGCATGTGGGACTGCACCCACGTGCACACAATCTAGTTCTGTTGGCTCCCTGCATTTCTCGTTCGGACGAGCTGTTCGGTGCATTGCATCAGGTGCGTCACGTGAAGACTCGTCACCAAAAGCTTCGTCAAGATCCGTCCATGAAGGATTGAAGCAAGGAGAGATCTGTTAATGAAAGAGTTCTGCGCTTGTGCTGCGGTTAAACCAGTTCTCAGGCATGTCCATGTAATGTAGCGGCTCCCCCAGATCTATGTCTATATACAGTGGAGTGATTCTGGTACAGGATGTTTGTGCTCAGCTTCTCAAGAGGGCAAGGTTTGCAAAAAAGGCAATCACATGAACTTAGGAAGAGCCTTCTCCCGAAAGTTTGCCCTAGTATGAAGAGAATTCCACCCACACTGCGTGCTCGAAGAGTTGCCAGTCTGGAGAACGATAACAAGACTGGCCTTTTTCCTGCTGCGAGCTGCTGTTATGGGTTTGGTTTGTTTCCATGAGGTTCCGGTGCAGTAGCTGGTTGCTCCTTCAGAAACGGACCGTTGAGACAGCGGCCAAGACTAGTCTGCCATTTTGTTCGCAAGGGCTTGGTTGGTGTTGCTGCTGAGGCTTGACACTTTAAATTAGTCTCAGGAAGATCCCTCTTAGCAATCATTCGACACTACCGTGCTCGAGGCCACTGTTCCTTCATCCACTACCATGTGGAGTCGGGGCGATGGTCATCAATACCATCGATAACATCAACAGCTGCATGAGCAGCTTCAACATTATCAGCAATTCCTTCGGATCTGCTACAATCATCGCAGCCAGCACAGACACGTTCATTTCTTCGAAGAAGCACATCACTCCGCACGGCGCTGTCGTTGTCGCAAGTTCGAACTGCACAAACCTTCGTGCGAACTTCTGTCTGCAAACTTCGATTCCAAATCAGTTTACATCCTGGCAGAAAAGCCATGGAACACTGGAAGCTTCAACTCCAACCAAGTTCAAGGGTCTGCCCAAGCTGCCCAGGAAAAGCGGAGCCTCGCCACGAACACCTTGGCGAGCCTTCGAGAGCGCTGCATGTCCTCCTCCCCTATGCTGCCGTGGACGCTTGGGCAACCCAGCTGAAAATTCGATTTTTTCCGTTCTGCTCGACTGGTCTTGTGCCGTCTTATGCCTGGTAATAAGGTGAAGGTTCGATGTGTGAGCCTTTGGTTGGCCCACACCCTTAAGTGCTTAAGCATGAACAGCTTCAACCCCGAGCACGCCTAGAAAGCTTCCGATCAGCTGGAGTTTCTAAAATCTCTCTGAGCCTCGTTTATAGTAACAATAAAAATTTAAGAACTTAGGGCATATGCTACGAGGATAGAAACGCAAGGCCGGAAATCGTGATCAAGTAGTGTGCTAGGGCGAAAGATGAAGGAATGGAATCGCTCTTTGCTGAATTATTGTTGGTCCTACGTTCGAGCACATGGCTCAGGCTTAAGGGTTCCTGGTTCATGGTTTAGGCTGTATTGGTTTGGATTCATGGTTTAGCCTTATAGGGTTTCGAGGTCCAAAGACAAGGCAAGCATTGATTTCTGTCGTCTCGTGAAACGACGCGCCATTCACCGACCATGCGTATCCTAAAGCCCTACACTGCAAACCCTACAGAGTCTAACCCTGCACCCTTTGCCCACAAGTTTTGATTTATACTTTAACCTCCTAACGCGACAGCTTCTCCAACCCTAGTAAGGCACTTCCGAGCCCGCCGGTCAATCAGACGATTAGACGGTTCTTGATTCCGTCGCTGCTAAGCCCAAAGCCTCAGCCCAAAATCGCTAGTCGGCTCTGGGCGCTAGATAAGGGAACTGTATGCACCGCAAGGCATGAGGGAGCAGGGTGAGAAGTCCCCACAATCCCCACAACTAACCCAACTCTCCAGATCATAAAGAACAAGCTCCCCGCCATCGACACAGAGTTACGGAGCTGCGCGAAATCAGGCTTCCCTTCCAGTACAGGTCAGGTATTGGATGGAAGCCGTGTTCATTCATGAGAATAGACCCCTAAACCACTAAAACCCTAAAACCTAAGCCCCAAAACCCTAAAGCCCTGAACCCTAAACCCTACAAGTAAAACCTAAGCCCCAAAACCCAAAACCCTGAGTTTCAGGTGACTACCGGGCTCCTGGCAGCTCTTGCCCGTGCCTTCAAGCTGAAGATCGACGTAGACACCTGCAGAATACCTTCTGCCCCTTTCCAGGTGAGACTGGGTCAAAGGCTTGCGCCTAGGAGCTAGGAGTTATGCAAGGCCTAGGTGGTTATCATGCTTTAAGCATGATGTAAGGTGAAAACTATTGAGTGTTCTGGCTCAGAGGCTGCGTGGGAAGTGGTTTTCATTCCAGGGCCTTGTGTGTAAGACGCATCATTCGGCTTGGAATCGAGCGTGTCTCCAACGCGGAAAGACAGCTCAAGATGTTTGCTGACGGTGATCTGACTGACATTGGCTTTGATGATACTGATGATATCTGATGGAAAACGATGCTCATGATGACAATTTGATGACGATGATTTTTTGTTGCTGGTGGTTGACGATGCGATGATGATGATCGCACCACGCTTGTTGACTCTACTCTACTTGCTGATAATGTGTTTCCTCTGTTCTGACTCTCCAGAGCACAAGCCGAACGCCTTTTCAGACTCGCGCCGACCCTGGCAGGTGCGTGTATCCTTAACGGGCAGCACCGGATACCTCGGCCTAGTGCTGCTGCAGCTGCAGTCGCATCTGTTCTTCTGGGATGAGCTTGCATCTGACAAAGCTAGTGCAGATGCTTCGCAAGGAGACATTTGCTGCTCAAAAAGCTTGCGAGTCATGACTGGTCAGTTCTGGCTCGAACTACAATAGTAATAGTGAATTATAATGCTATGCAGTGAAACAAGTCCTGCGAAGACCTTCGAAGTGCTAATCTTGTCGAAATTGATTGATGCAGAGCCGCCGGGGTAGTAGTACACAGCCTTCATTTCGCACCGCTTGGTGCTGGAATCTTGAAGCACCGGTGAACTCCAAGCTGTATCCTTTGCTCATGTTGTCTGTGCCTTTGGACTTGAGTAAAGTCTTCGACATTACTTGTGGACCAGTCGCCTCCTTGTCTGCCCTATAGGGTGAAATCGAGAAATCGATTGCCACTACCAGGCGTCCATACTGTATAACGGTTGGCATAGAGGTCACCCGTGCCGTACCCATACCAAGCATGTGAAGGCAGCGGCATCTCCAGCACCCAAGTCCGGCTATTCCTCAACGACTCACACCAGCTACCGCATGTATACCTTTGTACTTCCGCTCTTGGTAAGTCATTGAGTCATGTTCTGTTTTACTCGTCGCCGCAGTTTGAGGCCCCGCCCCCGAACCCAGGGGTTTCCATTGAAAACTTCGATGGTGACCTTGAGCTTAGGTTTCAGCGTTTGGTTTTCGGTTGTCGTTTGGGTGTCCTTGGTCTTCTTGTTCAAGGATGATTGGGGCCGAGGGCCAGGAGGGTTCATCCCACCGGGAGGGAAGAAAAGGCTTCCTGACTTTACCTCGCGAAGAGGATGTCATCTTTGATACTGTTCATAACTTTAAGTGAATGAAGCGCAGGACGACGAAAGTCATCACGCTCACCGTTTCTGCTACCGAAGAACAGAGAGAAGGTCGTCAAAAGGTTTACAGAGAGTTGAGTAAGGTACTGCTGACCCTAATTACGATCTCCCTGATGACTGTGGTAGTGGTGAAGAGCAAGACTATGATTCAATGCCATGACGATGATGCTTGTGAATTTGAGGTCATGTTGTTGATTAGGGTGATGGTGTTCATGCATGTGATTGTGATGATGATCATGATGGTGATGCTGTTGAGGCTTCTGATGGAGATCATAATGGTGAAGATGCTTACAAGACGGTGAAACCGCTGATGATGTAGGCGGTTGGTGTTTTGTGCCTGCTGTTTATCCGCCCTTTCTTCATCACGGCTTTTGTCGCTGCCGCGACCATGCCAGGTCCTACTTCTGCGAGTATCCCAAAGCCGTTCTGTCCTGTAAGCTCGTTTGGATTGGCAGTGCAGGGTTTATTCAGTGCAGGGTATTGAAATGGTGTATCTGTAGGACACAGAGTATTCCCGACGTAGTTCCGCATGGCAGGCAACACCCTCCTCACGCCTCCCAAATCTGTATGCAAGGTACCCCGGAGTCGAATCCACAGAGTTACTATGCAGTAAAACGTAGAACCTGCAATTCGACGTTCCGCAGATCGCAGCTGCACATATCGATTCCCGGTCCGCGCTCTTGGGCGTGGCATCAGTGCCGCTTGGGCTGGAATGACGTGGGCATCTAGGGATTTTACCGATTCTAGGTTGGGATGCGAGCGGCATCAAGTAAATGATGCATTTGGTGTGTGACTTGGTGCATATGACCATGTGGTTCTGAAGGACTGTCAACGTAGAATGCATTCCACTGTTGAGTTCGACCTCCTTCGCGTCAGCAAGCTGCAATTTATGTTTTGAAGATTCAAGCAACGGCTAGGACATTGTGTTACAGAGAAGCTTCTGATCTAATCATTCTTTTCTCATAAACGTGTGGAATTTGTAACTCCAGGCACTTGCTGTAAGCCCCCTATCTTCAAGCCCAAGACATTTGCGTCTGGTACTCGAGATCAACATGACGGTTTCTCTTCATTCGGGTCCTTTAGAGATCGTGTTTTAAGCGTGGTTTGCTTTTTCGGAGTCCAAGCAGGGACCCTAATTTCAGATTGCAGCGACACTACCACCAAGCCGCAACGAAAACCGTCTTTACATTGAGTTCCAAGATGATGCTCTCGACACTTGGTCCACTACTCTTGGACTTGTGCAGGGTCGGGCTTGAATGTCGCCAGAGGCATCATACGGTACCTTGTCCCAGACTTTTTGGATTGACTACGTATTAGATTCCCTTAGTCACCCAGTGTCCACTCTCCAGAGTTGCTACTCCTGCTGCTCACAGGCTCGGCTGTTCTCGGTAGTGTGTCAGAACGTGCACTGCTTCACTTCTTGCTCGATATATCGGTGATCGCTTCCGGAGTGTTAACTGGGGTTGAGTTTAAATCGCTGAGCATTGAGCACCTAAACCAATCCTTCCACCTCGCCAGGAAGTTTGGACTGACGGCCCGGGTTTGGGATAATAGGGTGAAGAGTGGTGTAATTTCAACTATGTGGAGCGTTCCGGGCTCAAGGTGTAAGACTGGGGTGTCCCGCGGCTCAGTAAATGTGTAATATTCAACTCAGTGTGCCTTCGGGTGGTTCGGTATGCGTATCCGTCTAGCCATAAAAATGGCATCGCACCAAAGAAATGCGATCAAATTTGACAAACGGAGAAGCAAAGCAGAAGGCAGAATGCTGAATGCAGGCATGAACATGCATCCAGTAACCCGGCACTTGTGCAACTAACTGAGCGAATCAATGCGTATATGTAAAGCAAGCAACGAGTGTTTGCACATGTGTGTATATATGCATGAAATTGATATGAGCAGGTGGAGTGATAAGTCCAAATCAGCAGTGCAAACCTGCAAGTACACACACATGTATGCACCAGCTCGCATGCCCGCACACTCATTCGTTCAGACACATATGCATTCATCATGCATGCATGCACGCACATACGCTCATCTATCCGTCAAGAACAGATACTTACGCAACTTACATATATGTGCCTCTCATATTCAGCTACATGCCTGCATACTTACAGAGCTGCAGGTGCACCGTGGACATCATATTAAATCATGCCATTCCATGTCGTACCAAATCATGTTCTGTCATAGCATCGCATATCATAGCATAGCGTAACGTCGCATAGCATGGCATCGTTTAGCATGCACTAGCTCAGCAAAGCATAGCATAGCGTAGACTAGCATAGCACATAACAGAGCACTACATTGCCTTAATTAGACTGCACAGCACAACATACAATGGCATTCAGAGCGCAACACAAACACCGCAAAACACAACAACAAAGTGTAACTGAGCATGCATAGCGTAGCCTAGCATAGCATGGCATAGCACAGCATAGCATAGCACGGCACAGCACGGCACAACACAACACAACACACCACAACACAGCTCAATACAACACAACACAACACAATGCAATCCAACACAACACAACACAAAGCAACACGACACAACACAACACAGCACAACATAGCATACCATGGCAACACCTGGCATAACATATCGAAGCACAGCAAAATCCAACACGTAGCACCGCAGAGAACAGCACGAAGAATCACAGCAGAACACCGCACCATACAACACAACACAGCATAGTACAGAGTACTACCACATCATATCGAGATACATTACGTGCAGTGCATCACATTCAGTTACATTACAGTAATTTTCGCAAGTGCATTACATGTGTGCACGTGCTCCCCACCTTTGGAGATGTTGCGTGTGTGGAGTGCTTCGGGAGAAGAAGTGGCGGCTATCCCCACATTGGAACTGACTGATGTGTGCTCGCTGAAGCATGTCTTACACCAGACGGGGCTGCCATGGACAATGCAGAAGATCCTTCATGATGGGCGTGAACTCGCAGATGCTGCGAAGCTGGAATCGCCCATGGACGTTCAGCTGGTCTTGATGAGTCCAGCAGATCCTGACACGGTTGACGCAAGATATTGCGAGACGCCGCTGACAACTGCAGCTCGCCGAGGAAGGCTCGACATAGTCGGCCGGTTGTTGGAAGCCTGGTCTTTTAAGACAGTGTCGGACAAGTTTGCCGGCATCATGTCTTCTTTGCTTCGTGCTTCGTCCGATGGTTCTGCTGACAGCATCCGTGTGTTTTTTGAGACGGGGATAAAGACTGGTTGGACAAACACTCACAGCTTGAGAGCATTTCTGAACCAAGCATCTGACATGGGCAATGTTGCGGTGGTGCGACTGCTGTTAGACGCCGGTGAGGGCTGGGTTGCACAACCCTTAACTTCCAAGCTGTTTACGACCTCGCTTTCCCATGCCTCTTGCAAGGGAAATCTGGAGATTTTGGGGCTTCTTCTGGGAGCACGGGCAGACCCACTCAGACTCGAGACTGGCTGCACGGCTATTTCATGCGCGGCTTCCAAAGGTAATCTCGAGGTGTTGCAGACCTTGCTAGAGTTCCAGCATGGCAAAAACGACGACCGTCTCAGTGATCGCCTTGGCTGTGCATTACTCGAGGCTGCTGGTACCGGGCACGAAGATGCTGTTCAATGTCTCTTGCAGAGCGGTGCAGACAAGGATTTTGGGAGCATTCGCTACGAGATGGAGACTGCTCTGTTCCGTGCGGCCGACAAAGGCCATGTGAAAGTCGTGCAAGTGCTGCTAGATGCCAAGGCACAAACAGACCTGAAGACAAAATTGGGCATGACAGCTCTGCTTGTCGTTTGTTCCGCGAAGCGGAATCTTCAGATCGCACGGCTACTTTTGGAAGCAGAGGCTGATGTGGACCAAGCTGATGCGGACGGCAACAGCTCTCTGATCTTGGCATCTACGGTGGGCCACTTGAAAATCGCACAACTGTTGCTGCAGGCTCGTGCAAATGTGGGTTTGGCAAACAGATCCGGGATGACTGCTCTCACTTCGGCGGCCTTTCGGGGCCATGACGAGATCGAACAGTGTTTGTTGGGCGCCCGACCTGGCAAGCGACACTGTGGCTTTGAAGTGCATAGATGAAGCCGGCTTGACATGACCCTTCCGCTTGCATTGTCATGCTGCCTAGCAGACAGATCTTAAAGTCGCTGAGAAAAGGGCACTCGGCCCCTCG